GGCCCACATGACGTTTATAAAAATAAATAAATAAAAATTTGGTCACCATCTTTCAAAACACTTGCTTTATTTAACCACGTTTAATAAATTAAATAAAAGCTGATATGGTGCAGCAAAGTCTTTGTGTTAAACTTGACATTTCGCAATATTAGAAAACTATATTGGTAATAATTTCACCCTGAATAAAATTAAAGTTTGCACCTGCATCCACCGGGACAGATCAAATTTATTTCCATCTTGAATTACAGTTGGGGCCACACAAAATCACTCAAAGGGCCACAAATGGCCCCCGAGCCGCACTTTGGACACCCCTGATTTATGAAGTAGAAATGTTCTAGCAAATCATTTCTGCTGTTTCGCAGTACAAGAGAGCAACATTTCCAAATAAATTTTCTTTTCTGAAGCTGCTTATTAGTTGATTTTGCACCAATTAAATCAATAGAAACATTATATACTGTAGGTGATTCTGTTTTTTCCCCATTTTAAAAATAAATAAGTTTTCTAACGTCTGCCTTTGCAGCAAATCATGCGCACAGCAAGCAAGTACAACCTGGGTCTGGACCTGCGGACGGCCGCCTACGTCAACGCCATCGAGAAGGTCTTCAAGGTCTACAACGAAGCTGGGCTGACCTTCACATAAACGCCAACCTGCACTGCTCTCCGTTCCTCCGCTCTCCCTGCTAGTCATCCCTCTCTCCGGCTCCCCTCTACCTCCTCAGACAGCCTTCTGAACATATCACCGTTTACCGCAGCTCCCCACACGCGCAGCCACAACCTCACAATTTCCTCTGCGATATCTGCGCAGCCATCGAGACGCCGCCCTGACCTCGGAGTTGGAGCAGACATCGGTGTTTGTGAAGAGAGAGAAGACTCTTTCCCTCCCTCTGCAGCCCTGTAGGTGTTTGTGTTGTGGCAGCCATGTTTCACGGCGCTCCTATCGTAGTAGCTGAATGCATGTGTAGCCGTTTCTGATGCCTTATTTCGGGATGAGGTGGCGCCTCGAAGGGAGCCGGCCACTTCAGTCTAACGTTGATTAAAAGGGATTTAGATTTAACTCCATGTGAATTAGTTGGATTAGTTGTTTTTAATCTTTCTGGTGAAAAGATTAGCGATTCTAAATTTCAAGGATTCAAGTGTTTTTACTGTCCTCTTCATATTTCTGCTTCCCTTGTTGCTTTAGCTTAACGCAGCTTCTCTAGATGCCGCCGGCCTCTAGAGAGGAGCAGAGGTTTGGCGAGCGCGTTGTGATCACCTTGTTAATTCTCGTCTGTTTAACCGTCCTATTGCTGCATTGAAACAAGTTTTTTTTTTTTTTTTGGAGGAAACTGCTTTTTATTTTTATTGTATTCAATTTTTTTTTTTTTTGAAACAACAAATAAAATGTTCTTAAAAAGGCGAGTGATTTCTTTAAACTTCTTTACGACACCTTTACAGGAAATCGGCGTAACGTGTACAAACGATGAGGTTTTCATGTGGATACTCTGATTTTTATCTAGGGGTGAATTGATAAATCAACCCAGATTTTCTTAATTTTAGGAGATTGAGGATCAGTTGATACATCTGAAGTGGATCTTATTGATCGTTGTCCTCTTTTGTTCTGCTGTGAGAGATTTTGACTGACAAACGCACCAAGTCATGTCGGCACGTTCAGTTAGTAACCCCTCTGTTGTCAACTCTTGCTATATTTAGCAACATTTCAGACAAATTGGGGAAAATCGGAATCAGCAGGTCAGACTTTTTAAAAATCTGTAATCAGTCAGAAAACTAGTTTCATCACAAAAGTAGGAAAATCCTCAAAGAAAAGGTCTAAGTCTGGAAAAAATATTTGATATTTCTACACTTTTCTTCATTTTCCAGTTATCAAGAATCAAAAATTGGGATTTTTCTGAGTAAATTCCAAAAATCTGATTTTGGTGTGAGAAATGAGTTTCCCTCACAGTAGAATCCTTTTTATTGGTTTCTATTTCTTGGACACCAAAGCTGCTTGTGAAACCAAGTTGATCCAATGATGTTGCCTTTGATTCCCATTGACAGTTGTAGGAACTGTGTAAGATACTGATTGCACATAAGCTCTCCACATGACTCCACTTGAAATAACGTGCCTATCCCTTTACAGGAAACAATTACTCCAGAGTTACCAGTTTGCTGCATTTCTGCTTGCAGCTCCAAATTAAATTTACTTTAAGTCTGTTGACTTTATTATTCCTCCACAACAAATAAAGACATAAACACCATAGTTGGATTTCAACAAAACCTTTTTTATTTTCACATTTACGGTTTATAAAATCAGCGAATTTGATGTGATGCCAACTTAAACACAGTGCGTGACTCAGGTTGGTTGTGTGTGTGTCGTGTTGGTTTGTGTTTCTTTTTCTCTGAAGTGTGTGTGTTTTCATGAGTGTGTCGTTCTGTAAGGCAACATGCAGTCGTCTGTTTCAGTTGACCTCAAAGTAAAACGTAAAAAAAAAATGCACACACACTCTTCTGGCTGAACCTACTCTACTTGAACACACGTACACACACTCTTAAAGCGATGGCTGATGGCGTGATGCTCGGCGGCAGGGGAAGGGACTATCCGACCAGCCCAGACAGCAGAGAGGGAACACGTTCAGCGTAGATAACCACACAGAGCTTAGCTAAAAACGAAACATAAAGCCTTCATTCCTCTCCTATTCATCAAACTGGACTCACTGGTACATCTGTGGTTTAGATGAACCCAGAAACTCAGCTGGATGTTTCCCGTAATTGCACGCAAACCGGTTTCCCAAAGCTCGACTCGCACACGAGGGGAAAAGATGAATATTTCTTTTTTTCTTTAATTTTTAGCATTTTCCGTTAAGTATTTTCTGTTGAAACAAGCACATCTATGTCTAGAAGTGAGCATTTTTTCCTTCTTCTGCCAAAGGAATTTTAACACCAACCCGAAAATATCCTGACAAAAATTTAATTTGTCTGTAAAGGAGATTAACACGAAAAACCAGCCATCTTGCTACTAATATAACTGTTTAGTTGTTTTGTTTTAGCTTTGAAATAATTTTATTTTGCAGAAACAGAGGACAGATGTAATCTGCAATCTGATTCAGTGATAGGTTTTGTTTTTACTTCTTCTTCTTCTTGTTGCTTTTGGTGCACAGAATTTAAAATCCAATTGTTCATCATTGGTGCAAATTTGTAAGTGTTGAATCAAAAGGCTACTGGACTTCTTGTCTTTTTCAAGAATTTCTCACCCCTCATCCAAAAGGCTCCTTCAGTTCATTGGAAGCAGCTTTTATTGCCTTTACGTTGCAGCCAGAACAACCACACGACTTTCTGACCTGAACCTCCATCCGGGTCAATATTTGGGTTGTTCTGGTCACGTTTCAAGGTGTGAAACTGGTTCAAGAGGGAAGTGAAAACTATAAAACAGTTACTTTGTTCAGGCGGTTAACTGTTTCACAATTGCTGGTTTTCGTTTTCACATTAAAGGTGAGACAGAGATTGTCCGGTTGTTGTTGGTACGAACTGTAGGGACTCTTCCTCTTCACCCAAATCCAGCCAAACGAGCAATAACTGATTGTTGAACGCTCTTTCTTCCTACCCCGACTTTGCGGACACAAACACGTCACGGCATAGTACAGACATCTGAAAACGCTCATGCATAACGTCACGTTGCACTTGCTCACCACTTCTACTGCGCTAACCCTGTTTCTAAATGCTGAAGCGAACACACACGCACGAAGCCGGCGTTTTTGCAACACATAACAGCCGCCCTATAGAGAGAGAAAACACCACGGGGAACGTCAGCTCATGCATCCTACTGCCACAAACTGAAGCACAGGTCTTTAATGCGTGGGTCCCTGCTGACAACACATGCACACAAGCTTGGACACGGACACACGGCCTGCAGCACACGCATGCAGCTCCTTCGGTTTCACAATGACTTCTGTTTCTTCTATTAAGACAGGTTTCTCTCTTATCTCCTACGGCTACTTGTTTGCCCTGTGTGTGGTCTGCTGGTATTCATGGTATGTTCTGTATGTGCGTGTGTCATGCTGGCACCTTCTTGAGGTGTGTCCTTTTTGTGTTTGGGTGATTTTTGAAATTTCTCAGTCGGGTGGCAATGAGACAGGAGCCGGGGGGGGGGCGGAGGGAGGGTTTATCTACACGAACACACAGGTGAGGCCGGGGAAGCAGAGGGGGCGCTACAGGCTGCAGGGGGGGTTAGACGGTGAGGGGAAAGCCGAGGTGCGGCGTCTGGAAGAGTCTGTTCTGATTTTGGTTCCGAAAAGTCACAAAAAAATATGCTGAACATCTGGAGTCGGGTACGGCGAGGCGAGGAAGGCGAGGGGCAGCTGGAGGGTCCGGAAGGAGACTAGTACCCCTAGAAATGAGAACAACGGATTTAGAGCGTCACATGACTGCTAGAAATAAATTAATAACAGTGTTTGAAGCCTAAACACTGATTTTGACAAAGGTCGTCATTATAGATGGTAGATGTCTTCAAAAATCAGACAGAATTGGTGCTAAAATTTTTGTTTGTGCTGCTATCATTTTAAAGATATCAAGAAATGTTTCCAGAGGTCATGAAAGGTCAACCAGCCGCCCCACCTTCAATAAGACAAAGTTGGTGTCAATCAACTCAACTACGTTTGTGCTGCTTTGGCTTTGAAGGTTTGAAGGTCATCTTGATTTAGTAAAAGTGTATGTGTGTGTGGGGGGCGTCTGGTTGACCTGTTGACCTTTAAACTTTCAAAGCCAAAGCAGCACAAACAAAAAAAATTGCTGCACAAAAACCAGCCCAATCTTAGTGGAGTTGATTGCCACCAATTTTGATTTGCACAATGTGGGGCGGCTGGTTGACCTTTCATGACCTCTGGAAACATTTCTTAATATCTTTAAAATGAGAGCAGCACAAACAAAAATGTTGCTGCACAAACATTTAACAAAAAATTGTCTGATTTGAAGAATGTGTTTCTAGTGCAAATATCTTATTGCACTTCAAAACACACAAAACTAACTTACAGGTAACTTTTCAGCAGTTGTAGAAACTCATTTTAAGTAAATAATTACTTAATATTGATTAAAAAGTGTTAATTCCAGATAAATTTACTCATAAGACAATTTCCCCATAATAGCACTTTTTCATCAATATCAAGGAAATATTCACTTAAATTTCTACAACTGCAGAAAAGTTACTTGTAAGTTAGTTTTCTTATTTCAAGTATATTTCCACTAGACTTAAAATACTTTGTAAGATTGTGTTTTTGCAGTGATCCTCTTTTTCTTCTCAATCCTGTCAATTTTTGTCCTAAGAAAAACTTCCATAGTTGATGATACTGATGGGGAAAAATATGTAAAATACATATAAAAAGCTGTGCAACTTGTTTATCTCTATCAATAAGTCAGTACATTGTTTAAATATTACAGAAGGAGCACAGAAAAAAAGAGAGATCTTAGACCAGGGGTGTCCAAACTTTTTGTCACATTGGTCAAAACATTTCCTCCAAACAAACTTCTTTTAATTATTCAAAATTGTTTGTCTTGATCAGAAATAAAACTTTTTCCAAGAAAGCATCTGGCTATTCTATGTTCATCATAAAGTTGTTGACCTTGGAGCAGGTTTTCTTTTTTTTTTTTGATTACAGTGTAAAACCGGTTCTACTGTTCAGTCATATCAGCGTTTCAGATATTTCCAGTTCATTGTAGTAGCCTGCAGCTGGATTTCCTTTCATTTTACTGATTTTGTCTTCCTCCTCAAGTTGTTTATCTTATACTTAAAGATATTAAACCAAGAAAATAAGAATCTGCAGTATTTTTAAAATTGCTTTAAACCTCCTAGAACTACAGTTCTCCATTTTAGATATTCATTGATCAGTCTGATTAGTGACACTTTGATGACCGCAAAGAGAAAAACGACCTGCTGTAGGCAGTTCAGGTGTTTAATTAAACAACTGATATTAATATTACAGATGCAGAATCGATTCAAATGCTCAAAAATGTTTTTTTAAAATAAGTCTTTGGCTCTCCTATTTACGAGCATATATTGTATCACACGTCCACAGCTGAAGGGCGTCTCGTCCGCTGTGAATGTTTAGAATAATTCTTTGATATGTTTTTATTTCAGAGGAAGCCATGCAGCTAAGCTAACCTAAAGCTGGTAATTTAAGTTGCAGAATTTGATGCTCAAACATGCTTTTGTTTAAATATAAGCTGAAGGAATAGTCTTGTATAAAATTTCTCAAAAACTGTTATTGAATCAGAAATTGTTTCTGAAATAAATTGAATCGAATGATTAGATACTGAAAGATTCACATCTCTAATTAATAAAGTAACTTCAAATAAATTAAAATTAAATCAAAACCTGAATATCTGGGAAATTTTTATTTATTCTAGATTTTTGTTTTTGTTTAATTTTGATCATCTTTTATCTGCAGGCACTTTATTAATATGCAGTTATTTTTATTTTATATATTTTTATATTAAATGGGGATACCTTGTTGCTCTGCTGCTGTAACAAGTTAATTTCCCCACTTAATGCAGGACTATTCTATTCTATTCTATTCTATTCTATAAACTGGACCTTACAATAACCAACCAAATAATTTATTATGTTATATGTAACTGAATTAACTCTGGCTTCCTGTCGAGGCTGAAGCGTTGCTCATCGTTTGATGGTTTGTTTTCTTACCTCTCCTCCTTCCCCTCCTTGCTCCATTCCTCCATACTCTCCCTGCAGAGGAGAAAACAGCATAAATGGTTAAAAAACATTTAAAAAAACATTTGGAGTCGATTATTACTGTCTGTCACAATGAGATAGTGACAGTGCGAGGATCTCGGCATCAACAAATGTCTAAGTTTTGATTTCACTAAGACATCATTTTACAAACTGGTTTGAATGGAAAACATGCTGGGAGGAACAAATCAACATGCTGAGGGATTTTTAGGCTGTTAGTTTGTTATAGTTCTTAAGTTTGCAAACCAGAAGTTGAAAGGGGGATAAAAATATCAATAAATACTTTATGCATCGTTAACTACCTGATCTGGTAAGCTGGAGGAGAAATAATGATTAGAAATGAAAAGATTTAGTATAATTTAGTAAAGTGTTGCCTTACACCAAAGTGAGCAGCAGAAAAGAAGGTGAAAGAAGCAGAATATAATACCTTGAGAAAGTATTTATGCATTTCCCCCTATATAAAGAAGAATCTGAAAAGTGTGGCGTATATTTCTCTATAGCCTAAAGGTCAGTAATCTTTTAGAACTGTAAGCAGAGTTCATGGGGTTTGAATACTTTCATAAGGCACTTTTAAAAAAATAAAATGCCAAACTTTCTCCTCTTTTCTTTGTAATTTGCTTCCAATTAATCTGAATATTTTGGAATCCTTACAAATTAAGAGCATCAATATGCTTTCAAACCTTCAAAAGGCTTTACTGTTATTTTTTATATATATATATATATATATTTATATTATTTGTTGTTTTAAACTCAAAATGCTGTAATGTGACCAGCAGCTTTCCAACCATCCCTCCTGATGCTCACCTGCTGCAATAAACCTTAGATTTAAATTGATGGATTAGACCCGCAGCTATCAGTTAGCATACAAGGCGTCGCCTCTTTATCTCCCAAACCCAAACCAAACCCAAACCAGGTAGAGCTAAAACCCCCATGTTGCTGTCCAGTAGGTACCTCATATATGGGCTCCTCCTATCAGAAAAACACAAATGAGACACAAACAGCATAAAAAAGAAAAACAAATAAAACAAACAATGAGAACAACAAAACAACAACAACAAATTCTGGTCATTTCGCCCTTTCACCATTTTGAATGTTCGTCTTTTTGTTCGCAGAATTTCAGGTACAAAATGTTTCCATTGATTATTTCAAGTAATTTTCTATAACACTGTAAACTGGTAGATACTAGAAGATTTTCAAAAGATCCTAAAATGTTTGGTGAAACACAAACTGTTACAGTTTTTGTGTGTCCTCCTGATCTTTCCTAATTCAGAAAGGTGTCCCTCAGGGGTCCATATTTGGCTCCTTTTTTATTTATTATTTAAGTAAACTGTGTTAAAATGTAGCACTTTTATGTGGATTTTGTAAACTTCTGCTTCATCTTTTGCCTTTGATTAGGCAAATATCTGCCTACAAATATTTTGGATTTTTCTAAAAAGAAATGTAGTTTGTAACTTCAGAAACAAACTTTCTTCGTGTGAGAAAAAGATTTATAAATCTTTAATCAACAAATGACTACAGATACAGTTTAAACACCTAATTCGTGGTTGAAAATATTAGGCTCAGTGTATCTGCAGGAATATGATTCGTAAATAATTCTGGGTTTAGTTCTCATTTTTGGAGCTTATAAAGCTCTAATCTTGCTATTAATCCAATTAATCCATATTTCAACTTGTGTTTTCAAAGTGGAACGATTATGTTGCTGTTTTGGCCAATAAGACATTTTAGATCTTATTGAGATTATTCTGGGTAAAATAAAGAATAAATAAAATCCTCTACTTATAGTATATTTGGATTATTAAAATTCATTCAATTCATTTCAATAGTTCAGAACCAAATAAACCTGATACTAAGTGGTTTAGTACATGAGTACGAAACATTTTTATTTGTGTGTACATTATGAATGTAGATGGGAAGAAATGGTAAAGAGGCGAATTGACCTGAAGTACAACAACAACAACGCACAAGACAGGAGACATTTACTCCACAATAAAATAAAATAAAATAAAATAAAACTTCTTGCATTCAAGCTCAAAAGTCACAACAAGAGTTAAATGTGAGAACATTTAACGTCTGTCAGAAAAGTTAACATAAAATCCAGAGAAAGGGTGAACAGATGTCAGGAGTTCACAAGTTAAGTAAATAACAGCACAGATTTGTATTCAGAAATTCAAAATTGCTCCTAAAATGCAATGTGTGGATTGTGCAATAATGCACATAAACAATAAATATAAAGGAATGGAGTCTGAATAAAGAAAAATTACTAGACCCTGATCCTCGTCTAATCACAATAATCATTACTGAAAAACATTTTTTATTTTAGTAATTAAGTTCCAAAAGTTTGCGTCCCTGCTGCAAAATTTTCCTTCCACTTAACTTTCCTTCAACGTGCTTGGATCCAGGCCTCTGTGAACAACCAGTTTTCTGAAATGTAACCTTTTCTGCCTCCAGTAACTCTCTACTGGACGACTGCAAAGTCAGTAACATTCAGCATAATTGTGCGGACCATAACTTAATATTTTGCATTACAAAAAACTTTTCGAATTGGTCTTATGTAATATTAATTAAATTTGGACATAATCATTTAAATTACCCCGAATAAACACTTGAAATATATTGCACTTCTTGTAAAAATAACATCTGGGTTCCACCTTTTGAAGTGAAAAAAAAAAAAAAAAATCCGTGAAGTTTATATGTTTAAGATGGATTCAGATTTACAGTCGGAAAAAAAATAAACTGCTATAAAATCTGGAGAAATTTAGATCAGAATAAGTCTTTTTTTTTTAAATAAAAAAAAAAAATTCAACACCACGTTTAGAAATCGATTTAAGTAGTTATGTAATAAACGACACATTTCCAGTGTCGCAGCGTTACAATGATGTAAATAGCTCCATCTAGTGGCTACAAACCAAACAGCAGTTAATATTGTTCAGTTTGATCGAAGCTGCTGTCGCTGTTCCGTAACTCCATGATGGATGACCTCTAAGGCGTCACCATGGTAACCGACCTGACTGACCATCCCGGTTGACGCAGCGACGTTCTCCACGCCCTCGATGGTCGCCTGTGACACCTCGTTGGCTCCGGCGACCGCCGTGTCTCCCACGATGTTGGTCTGGTCCACGGTCCTGTTGGTCACTGACACGGAGAGAAACGACACAGGTGAGTGGGACACCTAAATATTGGCCAACTAATGCCCACACCGACACTTTTAGTACACATTTTAAACGCAACCTAGCGTTTTTCTTGCTAGGTTGGGGTTTTGTTGTGTTTCTCATTAGTAGGATTAACAATCACAGTCGCAGCACAGGGGTTATTGTTAACCTTTACAACCCAAAGACCAGTTTTTGAGTGTTTGAGAGCCCGCCATCTTTGCAAAAAAATTCAAAAAATTAAAAAAAAATAAAAAGATAAACAAATAAACAAAATGTCTCAGTTCTCCTGGAGAGCGGATCAGATGTTCAGTGAACCGGAAGCTTTTCTAGCTACCTGCATCCATGGATGCAATTTGAATGTTGACAATCTAAGAAGAGCAGCAAGATTTATGTTGAACACTTTAATCTATTTATATCAATATTTGAAACGAAGTGGTATGCAAACAAATCTGTCATATATAAAAAAATAATGAGTTGCAATCCTCATTGTTTATTCCATATTTATAACAAGTCAGGCTCTGATTTAGATTATTGATTCAGTTAAATCTTTCAGATCATTTGAACCATTTAACATTTAATGGATGGAAAAGCTGGTAATGCTCATTTACTGAGTGATGGCGACACAATCTGTTCTTCTCAGTGAGACGTCTTCATCTGGATTATAGTCTGATTATCTGTGAAATATGGAGCCTTTGAGGCTTTTTGTTTTCATTTTATAAAACATTTCTTTGTGCAAACACGACAGAAAACACTCTTAGGATGTCTCAAGAATGGGAACAATAGGTTTTAATTGAAGTTTGTGTCACTGACCCACTGATCGTTTCCAATAATCAGCCTTGAGTATAATCAGCTGAGTAGATTCAATACTGTTTGTTGTGCTTTTCAACAGGACTTCTGTTTATAATATATTAAAAATATAATGAAGCTTAGCGACAAATATGGATACAATTTCAATGCTTTTGTTTTTATATCTATTTCTTCTGTCAAACTGTAGAATTTGTTTTTCTTTCATCGTCAATGTTTGCTGCATTTAATTAATTAATTTAGTGATTTTTAAATTGGAAATCAGTCTGATTAAAAAAAGCCTGATCAGTGCATTTTTATTTGTTACCAAATGAAGCTTTTCTTACCTGTGTTTACTGATGACACAACTCCTTCCTTCGTCTTGCTTCCTGCAGACCAAAGAAAACAAAAATTACATTCTTTCACAACTGACATATTTCACAGTTTTCTGTTTTTCTACTAAGGAATTTTGTTTTCCATTTTCTATTTTGTAACAGTTTTCATCTTTATTTGAAAATAATGGAAAAATTAAGTGAAAATATGATGCTTTGCAAAAATATTTCAACCTTTACACATATCGCCACATCAGAGCTGTTAATTGTGGAGTATTTTAATGACTATGTGATTTATAAATTTTCAATATTGTTTTCCAAAATAATCTGAAAAGTGTGGTGTGCATATTATGTATTCAGCCACTGTAAAGAGTATTTCATATGACCACCTTCCCCTGCTGGTTCAGCTGAAGATCTTTTGGGGTTTTTCCTCTAACAGCTTTGCACATTTTACTTGCATTAAATTGAAAGTCAGTGGATGTGCATTTAATTTTTAAAACGTTTTTCTTTCAGGATTGTTCCGTATTTAGCGTCATCTATCTTCACATCAACTCTGACTCTCTTTCCTGCCCCTAGTTAAGAAACACATCTCCACAGCATGATTGTGCTACCTCCGTGTATCATGAAGCAGATGGTTTATTCAGACTTGTGCGCTTTAATTATCCACCACACATAATATTTAGCTGTTAGATCAGAAAGTTAATATTTTGTGTCATCTGACCAGAGCGTCTTCTTCCATGTCTGCTGTGTCTGGACTTGTCACAATAACAATTTATTGCGATAAACAATAATATTGCAATTTTACAATTTTCAAGTAATATTATAATGAAGGTATAATAATGGAAGTACACCCTATCAAGCATCAATAAAGTTGAATTTCTAATGATGATTTATGAATTTAAAATAAACAAAACACCCAAAAAGGACACAAGTCTCTGTAAACATAATAATAATAATAATAATAATAATAATAATAATAATAATAATAATAATAATAATAATAATAATAATAATAATAATAATAAAAGGTTGGTTGAGACTAAAGCACCAGACTGAAGCCTTTTGTCATCCAGACTTTGATAGAAAGATAAGAGAAAAACAATCATGCCAATGGAAATTATCAAGTTTGTTTTTCTTTATGATGCAATTAATAGATCTGGTTGCTACAGACCAGATCTATTAATTAACAAATTAATTAATTGCAATTAACAAATTAATTAATTGCAACTAAATGGTTTGTTGCAACCATTTAGTTGCAACAAACTAAATGGTTTGTTTCAAACTACAAGCAGGATTTCTTATACTCTCCTTTAAGCAATGGCTCTCTTCCTACAAATCTTTAATAAAGGTCAGATTGTTGGAGATTACACTTTACCTCTGAACTGTGCGGCATCCTCCTGAAGCATTTTGTTTACACTGGATTTTATTCAGAGGTATGAGAATAAAGGGCTCTGGATGCAAAAGCATGCCACACTTTTGAGTTTTATCTTTAAATAATTTAAAAACCGTTTATTTTTTTCTACTAGATTCATTACAAAAACACAAAATCTTACTATTTTTGGTCGAGTTTCTCATGTAAATATTTTAGTACTCTTGAAGTAAAATACAAAAATAAGTTTTCAGCAAAAATACAGCTCTGCAAAAAACATTAAGAGCCCACTGCACTAATATTATTCCACCAAATAATGATTCCTGAACTCTTCCTGAGTTAAAACATTAGTATTGTCGTTTCTAAATGGATATAAAATATAAATGGTTATAAAGCACTGCGTCTTTTCTCATTTTCTGCAAATAAATACAACATTTTTGCTTGGATTTTCGGAGGCTTGTTGTCAGTAATTCATAGAATAAAAGAACAATGTTCATTTTACTCAAATATATAACCTATAGAAAATAAAATCAGAGAAACTCCTGTTGTCCTCGGGTCAAAATAACCCGAGGACAACAGGAGTGGTCTCTTAATTGTTTTCAGAGATGCATATCGAATAGATGAATAGATGAATATAAGCTTGTTTTAAGTCAATAATTTCTTAATATTGATGAAAACGTTCCAGTTACACAGGCAGATCATTTCACTAATAATGTGGGAAAATCCCTTGTTTCACATAAAATAATATGGCAGTGGATCTAATACTGTCTCATCAATATTAATGGATTATTTACTTAAAACAACCTCCTGCAGCTTCCTGAAACATTACTGGTAAGTTAGTTTTGTTTTACATCAAGACAAAACTAGACTAAACACTAAAAACTGGACAAAAATACTTGGTAGATTTTCTGCTTTTACAATAAAATACAGTGAGGTTTGGCTGTAATGTGACTGATTGTGTTTGCTCAACATTCTGAATATTTTCTTCTCCTCCCCTCCTTTTGTCCTGCAATTTGCTGTTAGTTGTTAGTTATTCTTTTATATGTTGGACCTTTGAAAAGCTCGGTTCTCCTAATAAATTCCCAAACAATTAAAACCCGCCCCGCCCTCCTCTCCCCAGCGCTGTGCTCCCTGCAGCATGATCCTGGACAGATTAAAACTCCAGTTATATAATCTGCAGAAATGGCGGATGGATGGGGGGAAATATCTACGCTCAAACAAGAGAGAAGAAGAGAAAACTCTGCAGAACATCGTCTGTAGCATCAGCCCGAGCCTCCTCTCTCTCTGGATCGTCGGAGCAGATGCAGAAACTGCGATTTGCTGGCTCATGCATCCACACCACGTCCCTCCCTTCCCCCGCCTGCTGCTCGCCCTGCACGCTCTCCGAGGTACGCCATCCATGTGCCTGTGTACGGAGCAGTACTGCAGGACACCACACACACACACACACACACGCACACTGCAGTGAAACAGACACTTTTCACTCAGTTTAACCGAAGGACCCCCAGGAGTGCCGCTGTCTGTCCCCGCGCTGCAGAACAAGCTGCACGAATGTTCAGAGCTTTTAAATTATAAACAACAACTGAACGTCAGGAGAAGGTGACGCGCAGGACACCACTGATCAGAGCAAGAAATAATCCCGACCATAAATGATAATCCCAATCTAAATCTTGCCTGAATAAATGAAGATTGCTTGGATTAGAGGGAATATTTTTATGAAATTTTAATGTCAAACATGCAAATATGGAGCTCTAATCATTTCTCTCCAGCAGAGGATTTGCTCTGTTGCGACCCTGATTTGATGAAAGCTGCGACCGATCCACTAAAACGTGATTATTAGAAAAATAAAATTTGAATAACGTAGCCTGTGAGAGAACTCCAGTGTAGAAAAATCCCTAATTTTTAATGAAGTGCAATACAGACAGATTGAGACTTTAATATCTGCTGGAGATTATTTTGAACTTTTCAGGCTTATTTCTATTGACAATAAGAACAAAAATCAAATCAAACGAACAAACAACATTTGGATGCTTTACTATAACAGAAACTTGCCCTGCATGCAGACCTTGTTAACCAATGGCTGCTCTTGCAGTTTTCTTCTTTAAAAATGTTAGAATGCATTTTTATGTTTTCACAAATCAAATTAATAGAGTAAATCTCAAACAGTGACGTGTTCGGTGGAGATTAATGTTTAGTAATCATTGTAATAATAACATTTAGTTGTAATGCTCTTTGCATGTAAGTCTTAAAGTAAAAATGTTAATAAAAGCACTAACAATAAAATCTAATTTAAATTATCAAAATATTTTATATCTCGCTCAGGTTTGAACTCCCTATAATATTATTTAAAGATTTTGAGCTGAAGATGATCAAATGCTGTTCCAGTTAAATCAAAACCTGTGACTTTATCAAGCAAAGCTGTAGATTCAGCCTGCTGTGACTGTTTCCCCAACTGAAAAACAATTATCAAAAACTGAGAAAATAAAACATATTTTTAATACATGAAGTCCTGACATCTTTGAAATATGCTGTGAATAGTGAATGTTCAAAAATGTGAAATTCACAGGCTCGATTTAAGAATCGAAATTTTAACACTCCGCCTTTTCCTCTTCTGATCAAGTCATTATTAGCTAAATCACTCAGAAAGTTGGTCAAGTTGTCAGTTTCACTCTCAGTTTCAATAACCTGACACAGAAGTATATGGATTGCTATAAAACTGAAAACAAAAGGCAGAAATGCTAAAGTGTGATGGGATGCTACAGAACTTACACTGCAAAAAAAATTGCAGCAGATGCTCTCAGCTGCCCTAAGGCTGTGCCACTCTGGGTGAAGAGCCACATAACCCAGATGAGCAACCTCCGCTGCTTGTGCTGCTTTCTATTTTTAGGCTAATGCATGTGCACTCGACTGCAGGCGGATACTGTCGTCTTCATCAGAGCCATCGGCCCTCTTCACTTCAGCGACCTCATCTTTCCTCTCTCTTTTTCCCTCTGCTCAGATCCACGCTTATTTTTTCTTCCCTGGTATCTGCAGCATCCCGTTCTTGTCTTTTAAGGGATGATTTTTCAGACGAATAACAAGCAACGCAGAGTCAGAGCTGCTCTTCTTTTTCTTTCACCTCCTGACATTGACTCCTGCTTTCGGACGCCACCATTAAGACTTTGCAGCAGCAACCTGACGTCAGAAACGATGCGGAAGGGACGGACTGCGGCCAACAACTGAGACCCACTCACCCAGCTCCTGCTTTATCACCCCTCTTCCTTATCTCCTCCTCCTCTCAGGTGGTAACCTTGAGATGTGACGCAGTCTCTGCTGGAGCTAAAATTAAAATCGCAGCAAACAGCAGCAAGAGGGGTGGGGGGAATTGATTAAAAATGTTTAAAAATGGTTTCATGAAGCGACATTCAGCATTTATCATCCCACTGCAGCCTGTTTCACTCGATCGATCTCGAATTCGTGCTACGAAAGCCTGCAGCGCCGTCCCGGGACTCTGCAGTGTCCCCCCTTTTCTTTCCCTCAAATTAAATTGTTTTAATTTCTGCCCATCAGACTCCAGATTTCCACCTCTTCCCGTCCAGATGCAACTTCTTTACCCCGTCTGATTCTGTCATCATCACTTTTTCCAGCCCCACACCCTGAGTCCTGCAGCAGTCCTGCAGCGGCAACCCGATAGCGCTCACCTCTCCCTCCTTCTCCCTGTGTTTCTCTCGCTTGTTTTCACCCAGATTAGAAAACCAAAATAAATTATTACACATCATCCAATGCATCTTCCTCTCCTCTTCTGTTCCAGGCTACATACCTACATACATCACCCCTTCTTTAGTCTTGGCTGCTGCCTCCTCCATCCCTGCTTTGGTCTTCTCTGCAGCGGCCACCACCCCCTCCTTGGCCATGGAGAACCCTTTCATCAGTACATCCATTGTGGGCGACGGATCGGCTGGGCTCCCCTGCTCTGAACAGGCCTGGCTGGTGCTGACAGTGAGCGTGCAGTAGAGATGATGATGATGGTGGCGGTGATGATGATGATGATGTGGGATGTCTGAGAGTGCGCGTGCCTGTTTTGGCTCCTCCTCTGGTTGGCAGAGCGCTGATCGCGGTGCACAGCAGGACCACAGTTCACACACTGAAGGAGAGAAGGGAGGAGGAGAGAGCAGATACCGATGAGATGGAGAGAGGAGGAAGAGGAGGAGGAGGAGGAGGAAGAGAGATGGCTGGATGCTGCAGCATCCCCCCCTCCTGCCCTCCATGCAGCATCCCCGCCCCAAACCGCCTCATTCAGACCGACTCTGGTCTGGATGCAAACCCATGTTATATAACTGGCCAACCAGCTGACATTTTGTCATGTAATCCCGACGTGTGATGTCATTTCCTCCTCTTCCACATCAGCTTTCCTGCTTCACTGCAACAAGTTACCTCTAATTAATGTGAAGATGACGAGCCCCCACGGCCATTTTGTTGTTGTGAGGAGATCGAAAAGTGCTTCGTCATCCCCACCTGAGTGAGTCACAGCCACCTTCCTCCTCCTGCTTCATCTGCTGACTCGGCAGCATTGCAGACACTGATGCAGCGACGGATCAGATTTAGTGATAAAAACGAGCAGCTCGTCTTCCAGAGTGTTTTCTGCTCACGGAGTTTACGCCTGATTAACATCAGCTCAAGAAACTTTGACTTCAGCTTTAAGCAGATCCTGCAAAACTACTCAGACCCCCTAAACATTTTCACATTAGGTCACTTAAAAACACACATCTTAATGCTTTTTAGAGCATAATTGTGAAAGAAAACAAAGTTTTTAAACTTGCAAATTAAAATCTGAAAAGTGTGGTGTGAGGACATTACAGCACCACCTTTCGCTGCAGTTGCAGCTACAAATCGCCAGATTTCATCCTGGGGGGCCACAAATGACCCCTGCGCCACACTTTGGTCACCTCTGATTGAAACCTTTCCATTTAAACTCTGTTTTCATATTTTGCTTGTATTCACGCTGGAATCAGTCCCAGTATGAAAACCTTTAACTGGTCTGCTTCCAGCTGAGTGAAGAGAAGTGTCCCCACAGCATGAAGCTGCCACCACCATGATTCACATAGGGAATGGTGATTTTGTAATTTTACGTTTTTAATGGAGACCTGATTTGTGTCATGTTTGCTTAATTTTTCCATCTTTCAGTGGCGAAAACTCACTGAAAACCTGAGATGTATAAGCTATATTATTTATGTATAATGTTTTTTATTTAATATCCGTTGCATTATTATTTTAACCACAGATGCAGGGAATCACACAAAATTTGGACTACAGAGTCTGGAAATGCCAATAATTTTCCATCTATTTATTTGAACATTTGTTTTGTTACTCATGCTTACTAAGAACTAGAAAACTTGTTTTAAAAAATAACTTTTTTTCTCCAGATTATATAACATTAACTATCAAATTATTATTAATCTCATTTTTTTTATTTCCTCACGTCATTTCAAAACACAGCACCATCTGTAGATTTAATAAAACATTTATTCACATTGATATCAGTACATTTCTGAGTGCATTTTTACATACTGTACTTGTGCATATAGATAAACTGTGTATTCCTCTTGCTGTCACATCTGACAAACGTGCTCATATAGTTTGTTTTTTTAATTCATACATCTGCGATTTCTCTCCAGCAGCAAAAAAGAAAAAAGAAACATTTCTGCAGTTTCACTTCAATATTTGTTTTTTTTTTGTACATCTTCCCCAATAATCAGGACATGGAAAAAGAAAGAACCTATCATGAGAGCAGATCTAAATAGGAGACAGATATATTTGACACTTTAACTTATAAACACATAGCATCCTCATACTAACATTAATACACTTTCTACTAATCTAGGCAACAGCTATAGCTCGCTTTTCTCCTCTTGTTCATTTTCTCTCGTACTTCCTGTTCTCTCTTCCCGTGTTTATATGTCCTCCTTTCTTCTGCGACTCTTCCCTCTCTTTGAATTTCCTTCTCCTCTTTATTCCTGGACGTTGAGGATCTGTGCAGACAATCCGTGGTGCCAGTTCTTCAACTTGGCAAAGCGCGGCCCTTTGACCTCTGACTCGAATCGCTCTCTGTTGGCGAGGGGGACAAGACAAGGCGGTCACATCAGGAATAGCAGCTTACGTTAGCGTTATTCTCTGAGAAACTGCAAGCTTCTGCTCTAACGCTGCCTTTGAAAACACATTCAACCCGAAAAACAAAGCACGGTGGTGTTTGAAGGATGTTTTCTAAAACTATTTCTCAGAATCAAGTCATAAATGTCTAGAAAACTGATCCTGTGCAGGGTTTACCCCAGAAAACTTGCTAAGCCCATTCAGCTGGCCGGCCGCCATGTTTTTGAGTAAAAAAATGTTTAAAGTTAACAGGAAATTTTAA